ATCAAACTCAACACAGCTAAAGAAGTCCTAGGAACAAAGACACAACGGAGAGAAGGAACATGGTTCGATGAAGAATGCAAACAAGCTGTACAAGAAAGAAATAAAGCACATAAGAATTTCATACTCAGACGTACTAGAGATAAAAAAACAGAATTTGAGAACGAAAGACGAAACCCGTAGTGCATACCAATTTATCAAACATTTAAGACATGGATACAAATTGAAGAGTAGCCTCTGCAAAAATAAGAAGGGTGAAATCATTAGAAATATGGACGAAATTAAGAGAACCTGGATGTCATATTTTAAGGAATTACTAAACAAAGGGACACAACCACCATTACAACAACAGAGGCAGCAGCAGGCACGACAGGAGGTACAACAACAAGAGCTGGGGGAAGATGGAGAAGAAAATGAATTAACTAGATCTTCAACGCTAGAGGAGGTCCAAACGGCAATCCACATACAAAAAAGCCATAAAGTACTGAGAATAGATAAAATACTGGCAGAACTACTCAAGCAAGGAGGAAGGAATTTGACACAACAGATGTATGTTTCAGCTGTTATGAGAGATATAGATAGAAGAAGAAATCCCCCAACAATGGAAAAAAGTATAATCTGCCTTATTCATAAAAGAGGAAACAAAGTGTTGTTTCAGAATTATAGAGGCATCTCTTTACTTTGTTCGAGATACAAAATACTCACAAACATCATTAATCAAAGACTTCTCTCACTGAAAAAATTATCGGGAATATCAAGCAAAATAGATCTACCATTGACCAACTATTTACAGTTAAATAAATACTAGCCAAAGCATGGGAATATGGCATGGACGTTTACAATCTCTTTGTAGATTTTAAACAAGTCTATGATTCAATAGATAGAACAATTTTACCTAAATATATTGCAAGAATTTGGCATACCTCAAAATTAATACAACTATTGCAAATGACAATAACAGAGACATAAGCACAGGTATGTATTCAAGGACAGATTACTGATGCGTTTACGATAATGCAAGGACTGAAACAAGGCGACGGACTGGCTCCAATGCTGTTTAATCTTGTTCTTCAATATGTAATTAAACGGTTGACGGTGAGCGGAAATAACATACTTACAAACAAATCTACCCAATTAGCAGCATACGCAGATGATATAAACATAATGAGCAGAAAAGTGAATGTACCGGAAGAAACCTACGTTGAGTTGAAACAGAGTGCAGAAGCAGTAGGGTTAGCAATAAATACAAATAAAACAAAACTACTCATACAAAACCAGATCAAATAGACCGACCAACACTTTATTGCCGATATAGAACATGAATATATTCACATACCTAGGAATGGATCTGGTCGCAAGCAATGAAGAAGAACCGGAAATAAATAGAAGGCGTATGCAGGCAAATGAAGACTATTTCGCGATGGGCCACATATTCAAATCGCGAGACGTACACGGGAAAACAAAGCCCCTGGTCTATAAAACAATAATCAGGCCCATAGTAAGTTATGGTTGTGAAACATGGGTGGTGACACCAGAAATCTGCCAATGCATTTATATACGAGCAATATAGCGAACCAACTCTAGCACAATACAATAAACTACAGAGATTACGGTAGGCAAGGCACGTGGTGTGCATGCATAGAAATATAGTCCCAGAAAAATTACTAAATGCAAGAATGCAGGGAAAAAGACCTGTTGGAAGACCTAAAAAGAGATGGGAAGACGAAATCGATGAGGATGCCAGGAACTGCTTAGGAACGCGTTCATGGAAAAGAACAGCGGTAAATTTGAAATGACTGGAGAAGCTTGTTGAAGGAAGCCAAGGCCCAATTTGGGCTGTAGTGCCATTGTGCCATTGGATGGATGGATAGATTCACCATGTGTTTACCAAAATTACACGTCTAATTAAAATAATAAAATTACTTTATTCAATTTTAAAAATATTATCTTAATTATAAAAATACAGGAAACATAGTATAAAGCATCGCGCTAGTCTAATAACACTTTTTTTAAATGATTTATGATATCCTATGAAACATAGATGAATATCAACATTTATTTCTTTGAATCCATTAAAAGATCCTGTGCACAAAAAAGACTTCTCTCGTACTTATTGCGTCTCTAAATCCAAATTGTGTTCTTTCCTTGGTGTGAACATATTTTATTTACCTTTATTCTCACAAGCACCGCCACTGTCCGGAAATGCAAAGATATTTCGGAACTTTCAGCTGTAACTAATTTAGTGTTACTTTGTAGGTTGTATCGTAAAGTCCATTGCAAATAATAATAATTGGATCTCAGATTACATATTATTAAGTTTGGGCATCATGTTTCTAATTGCCGATGACATTAATGCCATGGTCAGTTTCGGGAAATTCCGAGGGTCTTGGCGACTGGGTCTTAAGATTCTAAATCATAGTTTATAATATTAATTGGGTGTATTAAACTTGAACTATATTTGCTCGTAATTAGTTAAAATACGTAGGAAAGCTGGAGTAAATTCACTACTTATATGATATGACCGTATAGAAAACAAGTATAGCTAATGATGAATATATTATGAATATTTTTATATTGAAATTAACACTTTTTTCGAATAAACTTTGGTATTTTTGGAAATTAACTCTTGGTATAAATAATTTTGTAATAAAAAAGATAATAAATATTCTTCTGGCACTCTGGAAATGTTTTAAATAGAAGAAAATTCGCTTGAGAGTCATCGGCTTCAACTAATTAAGTAAGAAAAGGGTTTCAAAATCTAGTGGTCTCGCATACTTAAATAGTTAAACAGCCTTTCAAAATAATTGAATTCGAGTTTAGAGGACACAGCAAATTTCATTCCTCATAAATGTACCAAATTTTTGAGATCCTAAAAGGAACAAGGAAAGAATATAAAAAAGTATAAGATGGTCCTCATAGGACACATACACTTGTAAGAAAGAAGGAAACCAAACAGTGAAAACATTCTCAGAAAGAATAAAATATAATTTTTACATACAGTATTGTGCGAATTAATGGAATCACTGTGAATTTTTTTTCAGTTTTTCAATATTCACAAGAAAATGTTTTGGGTATGTTTTTCATACATGGGGGTTGGATCTTTGGTGCCAATTGAAGGCATGATGAATAGCCAAAAATACAAATCCATGTTGGAAAAGTATTTGGACAAACAACTCCAACAATGTCAACACCAAGGAGGAGCGATTCTCCAACAGGACTCTGCTCCCTGTCACAAATCAAAGGAAATGATGGCATTTTTCAAAAATAAGAAGATTAATGTTTTAGATTGGCCCGCTAATTCGCCCGACCTCAACCCCATTGAAAATTTATGGGCCATTTGCAAAGCTAGACTGCGAAAAAATCGACTGTACCACTAAAACAAAAATGATAGAAGCGGCCATTTAGGTTTGGTATCGAGATGAAAGGATATCTGACAACTGCCAGAAACTCATAGAATCTATGCCAAAACGGGTAAAAGCAGTAATTGCAAAAGAGCAAATATTTTGGTTATTGATGGGTTGATGGACAATATTGATCCTGTGGTAATAAATGTGACGGTTGACAGTGATAGCGATGGCAGTGATAGCGATACCAGCAATACCTAGCAATGACAGTAGTAGAGATGATAGAGAAGATGAGAATGATGTTAATGTGTAGTGAGTAAATTATATGATAGTGTGAAAATCCAAAAAGTATGTAAGTGATAGTCCGTCAAAAAGTGAAGATTAAGTAATATTGTGAAAAAATTCGAATCATATAACGTCCGTTTTAAACGGAATTCATGTTATTTAGAAGGATTTTTGTATCTTCTAGTTAAGATCTTAAAATCCCGTGGAATGACCGAGTCACCTCACATCATAAGGGGGGTCTTCAGCAGAATGGTGAAGAATGGAGAGGTATATGAAATTTTGAAAGTTACAGTACGTTGGCCCCAAAAATATTTTAAAAACGAGGTCTAGGAAAAATAAGAATATCATGGTTGAAAGACCTTAGCACTTGGTTCAATACAACATCTGTGTAGACGCTTTTCCACGCTGCTGCAGACAAGATAAAGATGTTGGCATGTTGATTGCCAACTTTTGTCACGAATAGGCATACCAAGAAGAAGAATCAGAGGCTAAAAGCTTTTTTTATATTAGATTTTCTCAATTAATTTGTGGACGGATTGATTCAAGAATTAAATTGATTACAAGTTACACCATAACGCTGAACTAAGTTTATGTCAAATTGTGTTTCTGAAATTCAAAACAAGTAGAAGAGTACACTACTTTTAGCTGAGTTAATATGACAAGAATTGTTTGTTCGTTTGTTTCTTATACTATTTTTATGTACACTAATTAATCTATGTAAATGTTAAAGTGATTGTCCAATATATGATGAGGTACAATCGCAATCGATACACTTTAGTTGATAAATTACATATGATTGACTGTATTTATCAACAATAAGTTTAAGTTGTGAAAAATATTTGTTGGATGTTTTTGTTGATTTATGTCGAACATTTATGTTACACCTAGACAGCATTTTTGACATTTTTTTTCACAAAAACATGTAATTTTTGCCAATGATATAAAGTTCTAATGTGTATTGATGGGAATATTGTTGTTATTAATTATTAATTGCGATAGTGTTTAGTAAGTTATTGATTTTATAATTGTTGGTAAAAGGAATTATAAAGGAAAAGCTATTTTTACCTTTTGTATAACAGTTTTTAGTTATTCGCCAGTCGTTGTTGTTGTATTGCAAACGTAAGTTACAAAATGAAATATTCTTGTTATTTTCTAATAACTCCATAAATATCTGTAAATGAAAACGTTTCTAGTTAAAAAAGATCCATTTAAATTACTATTTCTACCTAATAATAAAGATATAAATGAGAGTTCTGTAATTGATACATATCTGAAAATATCTTTTTAACCAACTGCACTACTATATTGATAATTTTTTCATTTTGTACACAATCAGAACTATATAAAGTACAAACTGGCATTATTTTGTTGCAGGCTATGGACACATCTCGCCGAAAACGTCGTGGGGAAAGGTCGTTACCATATATCAACGCCATCTTGGGAATTCCATTGATGCTTCTCTGTTTATCCAATATCGGTGATGTCATGGCCAGCTCTTTTAGGTTTCTGTATTGGAGAGTGTGCTGTTATATGTGTCAGAAAAAACCGAAAAGATTGAAGAGAGGGAAATCCGTCCGTTCAGAGTAAGGGTGTGAAATTTATGTATAGGAATATATTTTTTGTAGAAAAAATAAACACACACACACAAACACACACACAAAAAGTCAAAGACAATTTAATTTTAAAGCAATTTACTTATCATTACATGAAAATTAAAGAAATCCATAAATTCTTAAATAATAAATTTAAATAATTTGTTGTAAAGTCCATAGCAAATAAAAATTTGAATGTACAAGCTTGTACTACAGCTTGTACTACCTGTACGGTGTTTTGTGGATTAGCCGGCGAGGTCTAATATGCTTTATAGGGTTAAGGTCGGGTGAGCAAGCAGGCCACTACAGAATAGTGATATCTTCTGCTTCAAGGAAGTCTGTGGTGACTCTGATGATATGTGGACGTGCATTATCATGTAAGGGAGTCTAACTACAGGTTCTAGAACCAAATAAATATACCTGCGAGCTATTTAAGTTGGTTGAGTAGAAATTAAAGGAGTTTTTTATCGACCATATTACTTCCCCAGAACATAATACTTCCTGCCTTATGTCTGTGAACAGATCTGGCTGTTTTCATTCTTGATTGTCTTTCTTACCCTCTAAGTACACAAATTTATCAGCTATATGATTTAACACAAATCCTGCTTTCGTCTGAAAATAGCACATTTTGCCAATTTCCAATGATCCAGTTTTGGTATTAAAAAACACCAATTTAGACGATCAATATTCTGCAGCCTTTAACTCGGGAACCCGTAACTGTATAGTCCTTGAGCTCGAGTTTTCTTATTGTTTTAACTGAAACACGACCGTACGTACATTGGTCGATCGAAGCCACGCATCTAAGTTCATGCGTTTGTGCTTGTCTTAAGGGGCGTACAGACCTACAAACGCATGCGATGAGCAGCCATGAATACACATACGTGTGCAAATGTGGACGGCGTTTTCCTAACCTCTCGCCGCATGCGTTGCTTCTCGCGAATGACTTGAGCACACATGCTGCGAGCCAGAGTGGTGTCGGTTTTTTAGCACACATCAAAGAAACAACGTGTGCGTTCGCGCTCAGTTTTAGACGGATAGCGTGGGGATTTGTTGCATTTATCAGTAAACGTTCTTTAACAGATATGGCTATTTCTAAGACTGTGCCGTTTTTCTTTATTACGGGGCATATATCATTTAAAAGGCGTTCAAAGTCTTTTACTGACATACGTGTAAAATTTTGAAACTGTTCAGTATTAGGTTCTAACGCCAAATCTACTAGTAAATTGGACTTTATTTGTAGGGTTCTTCTTTTAAATAAATGCGTCGTCCACCATCGCTTATTTTTCCTTTGTTTTTTCTTTTTTAATGAACTAATAACCACAAACGCGGCACCAACCATAAGCAGCTCCTCAGACATTTTTTCACGAATGGATGGAGCGCCTTGAGCACGCATATATATGCGTGATTTTTAATTTCCAACGAATGCTCTGAGCGCGAATGGATAGAGTACGCACGCATATGCGAGGCTTCTAACCGCATGCGTGTGCTAGTCTGTAACGCCACCTTTATACGAACCCTGCGGCATGAGCGATTGTTCACCGCACACTAATCGATTCAGTTTGCTGTTTGCTCACATCTGGAAAGCAGAAAGAACACATTTTTTATATATCCATATTGGATATAATTTGTATATATAATTATACAATTGAGGGTATTTTTACACTTCCCCAACGAATTTTATATTAAACACCTAGAAACAGAAATTAAATGTTTTCCGAATTTTATATTACAAACAATATATTTCTACAAAGCTAGTAGTACTACAAACAATGAGCATAATATTCGCCGATCTTAAAAAAAATTATTTTAGGGCAAAAAAACAATAAAAAACGAAGAAATCAAATACAATAATCTTATCCCTATGCCTGAAATCGTGCGTTCACTCGAACTTTTTCGTGTGCTACCAATTGCATGTGACGAGAGTAGTACAAGACGAGGAGATTTGCAATCTGGACGACCACTAATCGCCCCGTCCCCCGTCTGCGGAGCTCAATGCAACAGCGAAGGAACTTTGGCGGTGAGGAGAGACCTACGTGATTGAAAATCGAGTTGAGCACATCGAGCGTCGACCCATGTGCGGACGGCCTAACACTTGTAACTTCCAAAAGCTGCTTTTGGAGTTGCGGGTAAGAAATTATTGGGTACCATCTAGCTACTTGGATAATAAAAACATCGTGGCAAGCCGTTGTTACTTTTGGTGACTTTATCTTGGTCTATTCTTAAGCGTGCTTAACTATAGATACCTAGCATCGGTTTTTGACACAACGCGCTGTGTTACGTGTACCACTGCAGCTATGTACCCCTGAGATATTCCTTGCTCCACAAGACCAATAAGCTTTCCTCTATATTTTCGTTTTTGAAAGAGACAGTTAGTTTATTTATTTTCATTTAAGTTTCAACTAAAACAAATAATCTTCTCCGTAAAGGGCTAGTTATCTGATTTTTTTATTGGTAAACCTTTATTATTCGCAACAATAACAAAAGTTTTTTCAAAAGAAGTAGATAGTAGTTTGAAATGCATGGTGATTCCATAAAGGCTTGGTTATGTGTATGGATTATGTCTTTTTGGAAAGACAGGTAATGAATGAAACTTTGGAACTATTATCAGTATTTGATTAACTTAAAAAGAAAATTCACAGAATAGCAGGAAAACATATTAACAAGTCAATAATTCAGCGAAAATATAAAATGCAAAATAGTACAATACCGAATTTCAAATAGTAACAATTTAAAATCTGTTCTGTTTAGAATCTGGATTTTTTTTGCTCATAGTCATTACGTACTCCTAATCAAAATTTAAACATTCGTTACCTAAATAATTTTACAACTCCTCAAGGTTGTCTGATTTAATCAAAGAATGAAAAAGAAAAGTATTTTTGAAGTGTGTTAAAAAGTTTTTTCTAGCTAAGCGCTTTCGATTTACAAAGTCATCTTCAGAGATATGCTCAATAGAACAATAATTAAAGTAACGAATTTAAAATTTACAATTTTTAACATACGTTAAGTTTTAAAAAGCATCACTACTCAAGAGAGTTCCCATTTGTTGGAAAAACTCTATTTTCCCATTCCTTTATAAAAGTTAAGTTATAAAAATATAATTATGTTAAAAACGTAATAAACACATAAAAGACGGAACATTAGACTCCACAAAAAACACATTAAACAAATTTTTTATGTACGGGTGTAAGAACACGACCATTTGGTTGAAGTGGAAGTGTCAGACACATATAGATGAGGGGAATCGAATACTGTCATTTTAAATGGTTTCTCAAAGAAATTGACAAGTGACATGTGTCAAACATAGAAAACTAAGTTTATTCAAAAAATTATTTGATTTGTAATAAGTGTGTACAAAAAATATATCAGTCTTTTCATTTTATTTGATTTAAATTATAATTCTTAATATAATTTTTAGAAGTAGGGGACCGCCAAGACCAAGATATGGCTCTTTTAGAGATAGAAGGTACACCAAAGGACCAAGGCCGTTTGAAAAACGATTTGGAGAACTAGGAGGACCTCATTCTCATTCGGATACTGAGTTAAGGTAAGTCGTAACAATCAATAAAGTGCAAAAAACTATGCGCCTTTATCTAAGTTAAGGATATTGTCAAATCTAGTGCAGATCTCTAAATTTAGTTTTGCCATACCGTCACTGAAACCATACTCATATGGATATATAAAGTATTTGGTATTGGCAAATCAAAAATTAAGTGACTTGTAAGTTCAAATTCTTATTTATTATCGAGTTATTTTTTATGCAAAACTCTCTTAAGTGCCCACACTACAAGAAAGACAGCAGCTATGAGTATTTAGCTTCTGAGCTAAATGTTTCAATAATGTATGAATTGTACATAGGTAACTACCTCAAGAATGGCATAGAGTCTAAAAACGATTGGTTGTATAGGTAAATCGTTATTGATGAGTTTAATTTAAAATTTCCTGTACCTCATAAAGAAATGTGTCACTTGCTTTAAGTACAAATCTGAATCATCTGCGGAAAAGCTTAAACTGCAGGAGAGTTATGAAAAACACATTACAAAAAAGCAGCTAACAATCTTGATGATAATAAATCAGCAAAAGGGCTGATAAGAGTGGAATTTTATTGAATTCGATTTAGAGACAGTAAAGTATTGCCCAAATGTAAGCTGTGTTTTATAAAAAAAGTTGACTGTTTATAATTCCACAGTTTATAACAAAAACAGTAATAAGTGGCAAATTATTTATCTCTCTCTGAGTGTCTCTCACGGTGGACAAAAGAGAAATGTTAATATTTTCGCTGTATTGCTTATCATATGCAGTCGAAACATCTTTAAAGAAAACTAAATTGCATAAAAGTGAAAACAAGTTTCGCAAATTTCAAACCATAAGTTGAGGAACACGGCCAAGCTCCCAAAAAATTTTGCATTAACTAACATATCGGCAGACTGAAAGGATGTTGCCTGTAGCCAAAGAAAAATTGAATGACTTGCTATAGTTTTGTGACAGTAGGATAATACCAAATAGTATTTATGCAGACGATGCTGCATTAATCGCCAAGACAGAAGACGAGCTTAAAGATTAACACACATCTTCAATTCAATAGCCAAGAAATACAATATCATAATATCAGCAGAAAAAACTAAATGTATGACAACATTTAAAATACCCACTACGATGTAAAAACGAAATTGATGAGAAAATAATAAAGCAGGAAGCAAGGTTTAGATATTTAAGAATAGATATAACTAGTTATGGAGATGTTGAAGAAGAAGTACGATAACAAAGCTTAAACGCAAGTAAAGCGGCGGGATCTCTTAATGACATAATCTGGAAGAACAAACACCTAAGACAAGACACAAAAACAAGAATCTATAAGAAGACGTCATACATCTAAAACGGGACGACTACTAGAAACAACAGAGATGAAAATACTTCGACGAATATTAGTGAAAGGTATGTTGCATAGGGAGAGAAGCGAAAACATAAGAAGAGCATGCAATATTGAAGATATAAGTCACCAAATAGACAAAAGAAGTATTGACAGTGCAAGAAAAAGATGGTTCGATAATTTAAACAATTTAGGAGGCTAATATTAAAAAAGAAACAGGCTTTTAAGCCTACATACAAGAAGGAAGAAGGAGAAAAATGATAATACCTATGCAATAACACCCATTTTACCGGTCGCTACAAATCTCTAAACAACCACCAAGTGGGTGTGTTTTTGATAAAGATCACGAAAATTGAATTGTACCGGGTGGTCCAATAAGCCGATCTCTCGGCTATATATCAGAAATTATTCATGTTATAACTTTAGGAAAAAAAAATTCTTAGTAAAGGTGGCCAAGAGAAATCGCTGGAAATAACTTTCAAGATTCTGGATTAACCGCTAGGGGGCGTAACCTGCGAAGAAAATTTTGAAAACCAGTTTTTTGGGAAATATGTCCAATTATACCAAGCGTTAAATAAGTAAACTAGAAAGGGGCATAAATTCTGCACAAAGTGGTTCAAGTACTTTTTTTTTATTTTTCAAATAAAGGGTGGGGGAGAGTGGGAAAGTATTTGTGGATAAATACCTATAACTTTGGTTTGGATCAACCGATTTTAACAAAATTAGTGTCATTAGAAAGAGTACGGATGAATTAATTTACACTTACTATAAAATAATTGCATTTAGTTTTAATTGTCGAAGGTAGAGGGTACTTTCGAATAGAAAAAATTAAAATTTGTTTTTTTTCAAAATTTTTAATGGAAACACCTATTTATTGTAAATTAATAATAGAACTGGATTCAATTCGTAACAAAATGGTGCAAACCGCATGTTAATAGCTTTTATCGAACTCGAGATATTAACAAAAACGCATAAACATAAGTAAGTATAGTATTGACACACACCCTGTATTATAAAATAAATTAAAAAATAAGTCAGTAGGTACTTTCAAAAATTTTTATAGTAGAAAACTCTTAATGTTGATACCTATTCTGACCATTGTTATTTCATATGATTAAAAATTGTTTTTTCGAAACTAAGTAGGCTACCACAATGAATTTGACAGGGAGTTCATATTGTTTATTTATTGACAGCAGTCAAAATGTTGTTAAGAAGTGTTATATGTATTATAATTCGAATTGAAAATTGCATTTTTTTCATTGGATATTAATATTGGTAATATTAGTAATTAATTATCAGTACTAATAATTCGTGATGAGTATATCAAATTGTATATGATTGGAGTTTATTTCGAATATCACCAAAATGGCGCTATTGCCTCACGTATATATTCTGTAAGATATCCTGGCAGGAGATATTGTGGCAAAGAAGTAGAGATTTCGGACTACTCATATGAGGATTCAGTTGAATTAAAGCAAGAACATTGATTGAATTATATTCGGTCATAACTCTACTACGTCGTTTAAAACAAGGACGAGAAAAACTACCAGTTTCTCTTAATCTTTTTGCCTTTCTTTCAAATACTTCTTTGCCATAATGTCTCCTGACACGATATCTTACAAAATATATACGTGAGGCAATAGCGGCATTTTGGTGACATTCGAAATAAACTCCAATCATATCATACAATTTGATATACTCATCATGAATTATTTGTACTGATAATTAATTACTCATATTAGCAATATTAATATCTATTGAAAAAAGTGCAATCTTTAATTCGAATTATAATATAGCACTTCTTAACAACGTTTTGACTGCTGTCAATAAATAAACAATATGAACTCCCCGTCAAATTCATTGTCGTAGCCTACTTAGTTTCGAAAAAACTATTTTTTACAAAATAGGTATCAACATTAAGATTCTTCTGCTATAAAACAAGTTGAAAATACCTACTGACTTATTTTTTAATGTAATTTATAATACAGGGTGTGTCAATACTATACTTACTTATGTTTATGAGTTTTTATTCATATCAAGTATTCATATCATCGAGTTCAACAAAAGCTATTAACATGCGGTTTGCTCCATTTTGTTACGAATTTGTTCCAGTTCCATTATAATTTACAATAAATAGGTGTTTCCATTAAAAATTTTGAAGTAAAACACATTTTTTTTTATTTGAAAGTCCCCTCTACCTACGACTATGAAAACTGAATGTAAGTATTTTATAGTAGATGTGAATTAATTTCTCCACACTCTTTCCAATGACACTAATTTCAATAAAATCGGTTGGATCAAACCAAAGTTATAGGTATTTATCCACAAATACTTTCCCACTCTCCCCCACCCTTTATTTGAAAAAATAAAAAAAAAGTACTTGAACCACTTTGTGCAGAATTTATGCCCCTTTCTAGTTTACTTATTTAACGCTTGGTATAATTGGACATATTTCCCAAAAAACTGGTTTTCAAAATTTTCTTCGCAGGTTACGCCCCCTAGCGGTTAATCCAGAATCTTGAAAGTTATTTCCAGCGATTTCTCTTGGCCACTTTTACTAAGGAATTTTTTTTCCTAAAGTTATAACATAAATAGTTTCTGATATATAGCCGAGAGATCGGCTTATTGGACCACCCGGTACATTTGTATTTTATAGAAGCTTTTTAGTTTCCCGTAGATATGTAAAAATATATATTTTTTGGACTAAATAGGTATACAAGTGTGTTAAAAAAAAGTCGCATTGAATAATTGGTTAAAGTTCAAATGTCTATTGGGAAAGTGGAGAACTTCCTCTTTCTTTCAGAAGACAATATCTATGATAATCAAAATAATATCAAAAACCTATGATATCTCTTCGATCCACAATCCTGCACCATGGACAATATCTATTCCTGCTATCGACATCAGTCTTACAAACTTAAGAAAAACAGAGATATCATCAACCGTCATTAAACAAAAGTTTCATACACTATTAAACATATATGGCAATACCTACAACGTATACACCGATGCGGCAAAAAATGAAGACAGAGTTGGAGCAGCAATTTATTCAGAAGACTCCTCAGTTAGTTTTAAATAGTCATCAATTACAACCATCTTTTCAGCTGAATTATTCGCAATCCTAAAAGCACTATCGTTAATACAAAACAAAAACAAAGAAAGATGTATAATAATTACAGATTCTCTACGTTTATTATCCTCACTGACTCAATTGTACTGTGGCAACCCCCTTCTACTTTCTACTTCTTATTAAAAAAGAACTTAAAAACCTTTCAAATAAGAACATCCAAATTCACTTTTTATGGGTGCCTACTTATGTGGGAACCAACTAACCCGATGTCCGAAGAAAGTAACATATTGGTATAAAACGATTTAAAACCATACTTAAAACAAAAAATAATTCAAAAATGGCAACAAACTTGGAACAACACTCCATCAAGGCTATACGAAGTCAACAAAAATCCTCATCGTTGGAAACCAAAAATAAAAAACAGAAGAGAAGAGAGCAACTGATACTTAGCCGTCTCCGTATCGGCCACACACGACTTACTCATGACTAGACTTCGGCAAATATGCAAATAAAAATGTAGAAAATATGCGCATAAATATGCACGTGTTTACCCGAAAATATGCAAATATTTTACAAAATATGCATACAAATAAATAAAAAAATCGTA